AGTTAGGGTCATGCTTAACCTACAGTGAAGGTAGGATTTAAGAATACCTGTATAAATATTTGTTTAATTAATGGTGGTTGCCCCAAATTTAGTGAGGTCCACAAATTACTGTGAATACAGCGCCTCGCTCCTGGTCGCCACTGGATGTATATTTGGACCGGTGGGCAAGAGGTGAAGAAAGAAATGTGCAATAACAATGATAAATGTGAAGGGCCAGGAAGAGGTCACATCTATTTTCAGTGGCAGGAACTTTTACTACTACCATACCGACCACGAGTTTAGCGCTAATACTTGATGACGTGCGCGGGCAAGAGCGCGCTTGATGGTTGCCATAACAACTCCTTTTCAATATTTACCAGATATACCTGAGGGCCACTAGTGTTGGTGGCTTCGACGCGGACAGGAAGCCGGCGGCTTGTCGAGGCTTCCGAAAATATTGTTTGCCGTGATGATCCACTCCAGGTGGATTTTAAAACCTAAAAGAGTTCTGGCGTTATCGGCTTCGGTGGGTAGGCAGTTCCGTGGGTTTATAACCCTTGTGAGTTAAAAGCATCTGTTTTCAGTCCTACATTGAGGTTTGTTGAACTTGAAAATATAACAGGAACTGGCTAAATTGCCCCCTTTCCCCATCCATTTATTTGAGGCCTATAATCAATGAAGTGAGAGTTCATATAATGTTGTGAGTATAATTATTATGACAGCCATAATCGTATTAATATTGTAAATAGTGTCAGTATTTGTGTGCATTTATATATTTAGATACATATATATGTGATATGAAGAGAGGTAGCAAGAGGAAGACTAGTAAGTCTGGTGATTTATTATGACTATTTGTGTGACTGATTTCGATGATTTATGTGTTCAAGCTCCTGTGATGTTGCTAAAGTCATTAAGCTTATTGTGTTTGTTGGTGGTTACTTTAAAGCCTCGTTTGTGTTCAAGAGTAAGTTGAAGGAGTGTCATTGTGTTGGGTAACAAGTTCCCAAGTATGTTAGGTTTGTTGGCGCCAGACCGTTCGTCAGGTGCATTAAAGGTTGAAGAGTCTATAAGAGGCGGGTCAGGAGATGAGTGCCGTCTACCTCCGTCCATGTTCAATAAACCCTTGAACTATTTTTTAACACATCTCTAACCCTGTCCATGGAGGACAGAAGAAAATGTATATATGTTGGTTAGCATTGTAAACGTGTGGCCACGTTTGTGGTAGAAAATAATAAAAAAAAAACTCCATCCACTTTACTACTCTCGGGGGGGGGGGGGGTCCAGCGATGCCCCCCCCCCCCCTTCTCTCCCTGTATGTACTGCGTCTGAACCATATCTTGAAGTTATCTTGAGATGATTTCGGGATTAGCGTTCCCGCGGCCCGGACCTCGACCAGGTCTTATTTTTGTTACACATCCCCAGGAAGCTACCCGTAACAGCTGTCTAATTCCCAGGTCCCTATTTACTGATAGGTGAACAGGTGCATCAGGGTGAAAGAAACTGCCCATTTGTTTCCGCTTCCGCCGGGGATCGAACCCGAAACCTTAGGACTACGAATCCCTAGCGCTGCCCACTCAGCTGTCAGGCCCCTTATGTTGGGCACCATAAATACTACTAAATTTTAAATTTAGTATTATTTAAGTTTTAAATTTAAAATTTTCGACGTACAGCTTCACCTCCCTCTCCCCCATCTACCCCTCATGGTTAGCGGACAACACTTCTCAGGTATACTTGCGTCGAGTCATTCTGTAAGCGTAAGCCATAATTAAGAGTCAGAAGCCATTCTCTAAATAGTGAAGTGGTTGCTGTGTCGTATCTTATAATTAGTTGACATGTTGGGTTCTACGGCATTGTCTTAGATCAACACGAGCACCATTGTTCGAGCCCCTCGCCTCAGTGAACACAAACAACGTAACTCTTGTTGGTCTGTGTCTTCTTACCGGTTCACATGTTACGTCAACGTGAATATGACGGACATTTGTTGTTGCTTTGGTTTCTCTTTCCATAGTAAATGTTGGTGTCAGTATACGCAGGCACAGAGGGCGCTGCGCCTCTAATGTCTCCGTCTGTGAGTCAAGCGGCCCCACCCACCATCCTCAGTGCATGCGTTTGTTTTTACCTCTGTGTATAACCTGTCAATATTTTTGTCGGCTTAGGCCACATGACGGGTGAGGCTATATTATTATTATTATTATTATTATTATTATTATTATTATTATTATTATTATTATTATTATTATTATTATTATTATTATTATTATTAAGTGACATTTCATTCACCTGGGCGTTAGGAGACTCGAACAACAGACCCCACGCGTGTGTAGCCGAAGCTCTATCGACTGGGCTATGATCAGTCTTAATAAGGAAAGTTTCCAGAAGCAACATCCTGCTGCCAAGCTGACATTTTTAACGTTCCCTGACTACTACTACTACGACTACTACTACTACTACTACTACTACTACTACTACTGCTGCTACTACTACTACTACTACTGCTACTACTACTACTACTACTACTACTACTACTACTGAGGCTCAGAGGAAGTACTGACCCACGCCGCCCACGTCATATATAAAGTGGACGTTGATCACTAAGTGCTCTGAGCTTCAGTAGTAGTCAGGGAGAGTCGAAAATTCCATCATGGCAGAAGTAGATGCTTTTGGAGTCTTTTTTTATTATGATTACTCACAGCCCAGTCGATAGAGCTTGTCTCATATGTGTGGGGTCCGTGGTTCGAGTCTCCCAGAGCCCAGCTGCATGAAATAATAATAATAATAATGTAGGATAAAAACCCACACTTGTTTGTTTATGAAATTTATGCAGCTCCATTATATATCTAACCAAACTCAATCACATATGTCTATAAATGTGACGTTTTATTAAAACGTCACATTCCAACAATTTTTTGTTATTAATGAAGGTTCATATCACATTCATTTTGTGGGACATTGCGAGACAGTCTTGGAAGGTTTACTTGTTTACTGTTGGTTGATGTGGAGGTAAGGTGTTGTGCACCTCTACTGTGAGGTGCCGAGTGCTGACCAGTGCTCACTGTGAGGTGCTGAGTCCTGTGCTGCACTCACTGTGAGGTGCTGAGTCCTGTGCTGCACTCATTGACAGGTACTGAGCCCTGAACTGAATTCAGCATGAGGTGCTGAATGTTGTGCTGCTTGTGTGGGCTTTCCCTGCCCCGGTCTCCGTGTTGCTGGAGCTCTGGTGACCTGCAGGTGTGTTGCAAACTTTCCAACACCCTTGGTCGTGTACCTGTTAATTAACCTCCCGTGTGACCATCACCTGCAGTCACGTGAAACGTTTGTGTATGCTAGCGCTGGTTCACACATTCTTAGCCACTGTCATATTTAGTTACCTGAAACGTTTCCGTCATCTTAGCCCTTGTTTGTAGACGCTGAAGGCCTGAAGGGCAGACTTGGTGAAACTGTCGAGGGGATCTGTGGTACCTGGTCACATCTCAGCTCTCAGTCACATTCTACAATAAAACTATTAGCATTAATAAGATCTAATTAGCATGTTTGCTAAGATGGAACTTATACTTTCTCTCGTCTTGGACATTATAGTGAGGTTCGACAAATTACTGAATGTTTGGCAACACATTAACATGTATACTCTTCTTTATGAATGTTGAAGAAGTTCAAGCAGATGTAAACAGTATATTGTTATGCAAATCAAGATTGCAACTTCAATGTGAAAAAACAATGCACTACAAAAAATATATTATTATGTAAATCAAGAGTGCAATTGCAGCCTGAAATAGTTCGAAAATTTAGTGTGCTAAAAATATGTACCTTCTTACATTAATGATATGTACGATAGATTTACATCAAACTGTTAACTGGTGCGGCAACTGAATCCAGTTACATTTAATAATTTAAGTAAACTGATGGAAACTTTCCTAGTTAACGTCAGTAGCTCAGTCAGTAGATGAGTACACATGTCGGCCATTTTATCCTTGTGAGTTAATGTTGCTACTTGATACCATGTGTGTTGAAGTCTCCGCGATAATGTGGTGTTATGTTTGGGTTCACGCTCCGGGTATGCTCACACACCTGTGCTTCAGTGTTATGTTTGGGTTCACGCTCCGGGTATGCTCGCTCAAGTGTGCTTTAGTGTCATTTATTATATTTAGCCTTAGATATTTTAGAACATGTTTTCACAATATCGTCAAGCTCTTCGCCAGCAAGATTTTGTCTTCGCTTAATGATGGAATATTTCAGTATATAATTGTGCATGAGTTATCGTCATTTGCAGGGAACAGCGCTTCCCAGGAGGGCTGTAAGACCAGTGGCTCAAGGATAGGATAAAACCCACACACTTGTGTATATGTGAAAGTTATGTAAGAAATTTACACTAAGTCTTTCGCACTTCTGAGTGCTTGGTCATGTCTGAGTGTGTGTTGTTAGAACGAAACTTACATCTCAACGTCCGAAACGTTGTTTTAGGCGTATAAATTTCACATACACAAGTGTGGGTTTTTATCCTATGTTATTACGTCTGCGAGAAGACATTACTAATTTGGCTGTAGTGTTGCCATTGAGTCCATTGACCAATGGTTAACCAGACCACACACTAGAAGTTGAAGGGACGACGACGTTTCAGTCCGTCCTGGACCATTCTCAAGTCGATTTGAGAATGGTCCAGGACGGACCGAAACGTCGTCGTCCCTTCACCTTCTAGTGTGTGGTCTGGTCAACGACCAAAGGTTATGTCAACACTCGACACTACCACAAAGTAAACAGTACAATAAGTAATTGGGAATAATTAATTACACGTAAAATAAATCAAATTAGTTTCTGATTTACATTCTCTTGGATTTAATAAAGGGAAATAACTGATGAAGGATTTATGACAAATTATCTTTATTACAAAAATCTAGCAAAATAGCAAAGATTGAATAAATTACAAAATTGTTAAAGGTTTATGTAAATATATTTAATACATCACTCATCATTGAGGTGTTATTTAAGGTGTTAAGTGGAGGATCTTGGTCCATAGGGAGGAGGCCTTAGGGGGCGTAGTAGAGGCGTGAGGGGGTCTGCGCCCCCCCAGCCTCCCCCCTGCTGCTGCTGCCCCCCCTTGTCTCGTGGACACCAGTCACCACATTGTTACCATGGTTACCATTCACTCCATTGTTACCATTTACTCCATTGTTACCATTCACTCCATTGTTACCATTCACTCCATTGTTACCATTCACTCCATTGTTACCATTCACTCCATTGTTACCATTGTTACCATTTACTCCATTGTTACCATTCACTCCATTGTTACCATTGTTACCATTTACTCCATTGTTACCATTTACTCCATTGTTACCATTCACTCCATTGTTACCATTCACTCCATTGTTACCATTCACTCCATTGTTACCATTCACTCCATTGTTACCATTCACTCCATTGTTACCATTCACTCCATTGTTACCATTGTTACCATTTACTCCATTGTTACCATTCACTCCATTGTTACCATTGTTACCATTTACTCCATTGTTACCATTTACTCCATTGTTACCATTGTTACCATTTACTCCATTGTTACCATTCACTCCATTGTTACCATTCACTCCATTGTTACCATTCACTCCATTGTTACCAATTAAACCATTGTTAACATTGTTACTAATGAGCCCATTGATTACATTGTTACCATTGACTCCATTATTACCAGTGAATCCATTGTTGCTATTGAATCCATTGACTCCATTGTTACTATTATGTCCCTTGATTACAGTGTTACCAGTGACTCCATTGTTGCTACTGAATCCATTGTTACCATTGTTTCCATTGACTCCATTGTTACCATTGGCTCCACTATTTCTAATGACTCCATTGTTACCATTATGTCCATTGATTACCGTGTAGCCATTGACTCCATTGTTGCTACTGAAACCATTGTTACCATTCACTCCATTATTACCATTGTCTCCGTTATTACCATTGACTCCATTGATTACAGTGTAACCATTAACTCCATTATTACTATTTACTCCATTTTTACCATTGATTACAATGTTACCATTGACCCATTTGTTACCATTAAGTCCATTGGATCCAGTGTTACCATTAAGTCCACTGGATCCAGTGTTGCCATTAAGTCCATTGGATCCAGTGTTACCATTAAGTCCATTGGATCCAGTGTTGCCATTAAGTCCATTGGATCCAGTGTTACCATTAAGTCCATTGGATCCAGTGTTTCCATTAAGTCCATTGGATCCAGTGTTGCCATTAAGTCCATTGGATCCAGTGTTACCATTAAGTCCATTGGATCCAGTGTTGCCATTAAGTCCATTGGATCCAGTGTTACCATTAAGTCCATTGGATCCAGTGTTACCATTAAGTCCATTGGATCCAGTGTTACCATTAAGTCCATTGGATCCAGTGTTGCCATTAAGTCCATTGGATCCAGTGTTACCATTAAGTCCATTGGATCCAGTGTTGCCATTAAGTCCATTGGATCCAGTGTTACCATTAAGTCCATTGGATCCAGTGTTTCCATTAAGTCCATTGGATCCAGTGTTGCCATTAAGTCCATTGGATCCAGTGTTACCATTAAGTCCATTGGATCCAGTGTTACCATTAAGTCCATTAACTACAGCGTTACCACTGACTCCATTATTAGTATTGACTAAATTATTACCATTGAATCCATTGGATCCAGTGTTACCACTGACTCCATTGGACACTTTGTTACCATTGACTCCATTGGATCCTTTGTTACCATTGACTCCATTGGACCCTGTGTTACCATTGAGTCCATCGGATCCCGTGTTACCATTGGTTCCGGTGTTGCCGTTGGATCCAATGTTACCACTGACTCCGTTGGTCACAATGTTACCATTAGCCTTTACACCCGCGTCTCTGTCGTCCACAACTCGTCCTTGTAATCCACTTGTTTCACTGTACTTGTCATAGTTGTTCTCGGCTCGGAAGGTATTCTCCAAGCTGTCGACCGCTGCTGTAGCGAGAATGTTGGTTGGTGCTTCGTTACTCTGGTCATTAAACACGTCAACACCCTTAAAGTTAGCGTTATACCAACTGTTACCATTCCAGACTCCACCGTTAACAGTACTGGCGCCATTGACACTCTGGCTAGCAACGACACCGTTACTGTCAAATGAGTTGGAATTATCAGGAGTCTCGTTAAGGTCGTGGGATGTTCCAGCGTCGCTTTCAATGAATTCATTGTTATCCTTATCATCGAAAATTGGCTCATACTCGCTGTTGCTTCCAGAGGTGATATCGAAATTTTCATTTCTTTCATCCTTTGTAAAAATTCCGTCACTATTACCTTGATCAGCGAATTCATTCTTGCTGCTGCTGCTTGTAGCTCCCCCGGAGCCGGTGATGAGTTGCCCATCACCTTGGACCGCGGAGTTGAGGGCACTCTGGATGTCCGTACCATCGGGGAGGGTCGGGTTGTCTCCCTCGTTGTAGTTGACGAAGTACACGTCGGGGCTGCTGGGCGGCGGTGCTGGGACCTCGATGACTCGCTGTGCCTGGTCGGACTGCTTGTTGAGGACGTACACGACGTGTTTCTGGCTGGGCGGCGGCACCACGATGGGCTCAGGGCCTTGACCACCTTCAGGGATTCTTATGAACACGATGTTGTGTTCCACTCTCGGTGGAGGGACTACCGGTGGAGGGCCACGAGGCTCGAGGGTCTTCGGGGAGGTGAACAGGAACACTTGGCGAGACACCTGTGGGACAACACATGTGCCATCCACATGTAGAACTTCGCCATGCCCGCAACCTGTGTTGGTCGGGTGAGGTTCGGAGGGTGCAGGATGGCTGTAGGGCTCTAGGGAAGGATACCCTGCTGCCAAGAATACGCACACTAAACCAATCTGCGGAGGCAAGGGAAGGCAATTTTATTTTAAACGCATTAATAAAAAGCTGTTTATAAATTGAGGATATCGAAGTTTTTTTCAAACTTGGATATCTGTAAGATGACTGAGGCTAACTGTTTACTGTTTTGAAAATATTATAGACATGGGGATTTATTAATTTAAATATATGCTGGTATAAATGGGCCAGCAGGCCTGCTGCAATGTTCCCTGCTTCGTATGATGCTAAAATATATACTGGAGTGTACTTGTGGCTCCCCACGTGAGTGTGTGAGCCAGACAGTAAGGACTAAGTAGAGTACTCACCAGGAGCTTCATGGTGGAGTGTGATGATAGTTCAGGTCATGCCCAGGCTTATATATATACCTTCACTGCTCTCGTCGCCTTCTTGTGCCCTCTACACGCCTCTCTGCCCCCCTTCTCCTCCTCTGGCTGGGGTGTCCTCGCTCCGCCAAGGTCTCCTCTCCGTGTTAAGTGTTCCAGATATCCTGTACTCCTTACGTGTTATGAATAATAAATATATATGCACAAATAATCATAACAACACGTGGTTTAATTATGCGTGAGTGACTGTGAGGCGAGAGACGACAACCTAAGCGACCTTCCCTGTGCTAACATTAACCCAGCGGATTGTTTTCTATTGGGGAGACTTGTACTTGCTGCTATGGCAGTGTGGTCACTCACAGGATGAGTGACGCTGCCCAATACTGTCACTATGGCGGTGTGTCCACTCACATGATTAGTGGCGCTGCCCAATACTGTCACTATGGCGGTGTGTCCACCCATAGGATAAGTGGCGCTGCCCAATACTGTCACTATGGTGGTGTGTCCACTCACATGATTAGTGGCGCTGCCCAATACTGTCACTATGGCGGTGTGTCCACTCACAGGATGAGTGACGCTGACCAATACTGTCACTATGGCGGTGTGTCCACTCACAGGATGAGTGGCGCTGCCCAATACTGTCACTATGGCGGTGTGTCCACTCACAGGATGAGTGACGCTGACCAATACTGTCACTATGGCGGTGTGTCCACCCATAGGATAAGTGGCGCTGCCCAATACTGTCACTATGGTGGTGTGTCCACTCACATGATTAGTGGCGCTGCCCAATACTGTCACTATGGCGGTGTGTCCACTCACAGGATGAGTGACGCTGACCAATACTGTCACTATGGCGGTGTGTCCACTCACAGGATGAGTGGCGCTGCCCAATACTGTCACTATGGCGGTGTGTCCACTCACAGGATGAGTGACGCTGACCAATACTGTCACTATGGCGGTGTGTCCACCCATAGGATAAGTGGCGCTGCCCAATACTGTCACTATGGTGGTGTGTCCACTCACATGATTAGTGGCGCTGCCCAATACTGTCACTATGGCGGTGTGTCCACTCACAGGATGAGTGACGCTGACCAATACTGTCACTATGGCGGTGTGTCCACCCATAGGATAAGTGGCGCTGCCCAATACTGTCACTATGGTGGTGTGTCCACTCACATGATTAGTGGCGCTGCCCAATACTGTCACTATGGTGGTGTGTCCACTCACATGATTAGTGGCGCTGCCCAATACTGTCACTATGGTGGTGTGTCCACTCACATGATTAGTGGCGCTGCCCAATACTGTCACTATGGTGGTGTGTCCACTCACATGATTAGTGGCGCTGCCCAATACTGTCACTATGGTGGTGTGTCCACTCACATGATTAGTGGCGCTGCCCAATACTGTCACTATGGTGGTGTGTCCACTCACATGATTAGTGGCGCTGCCCAATACTGTCACTATGGCGGTGTGTCCACTCACATGATTAGTGGCGCTGCCCAATACTGTCACTATGGCGGTGTATCCACTCACATGATTAGTGGCGCTGCCCAATACTGTCACTATGGCGGTGTGTCCACTCACATGATTAGTGGCGCTGCCCAATACTGTCACTATGGCGGTGTGTCCACTCATATGATGAGTGACGCTGCCCAATACTGTCACTATGGCGGTGTGTCCACTCACATGATTAGTGGCGCTGCCCAATACTGTCACTATGGCGGTGTGTCCACTCACATGATTAGTGGCGCTGCCCAATACTGTCACTATGGTGGTGTGTCCACTCACATGATTAGTGGCGCTGCCCAATACTGTCACTATGGTGGTGTGTCCACTCATATGATGAGTGACGCTGCCCAATACTGTCACTATGGTGGTGTGTCCACTCACATGATTAGTGGCGCTGCCCAATACTGTCACTATGGCGGTGTGTCCACTCAAAGAATGAATGGCGCGGCACAATAAACTCGCTCCTCGGGGCAAAATTTACAATTAACACGTGGTGCTGTAGGGCGGAGTGCGCTCACTGCGCGTGTTATAACACGAAAGAGTTCAGATTTTTCGTTTCTGTTCCCTTGTGATTACTTACCTGTGTGAGGTATATACATGTACGCGTTTATTACGTCCATTACATTATTTATTTATATTCAGAGTGATCAGAGACACGGGACTTAGTCTGGGATCCTTTCAGACGTAGGTTCGAATCCTCATCACGGCCCTTGTGGATTTGTTTATTAGTATCTTTTGTTTGACGAACTTTTAGAACTTTCTCTTACTATGTTCACGCCTTCAAAACTGCTAAGCAATAGTTGTGAGTAAATGACTGGCATGTTATGGATGTGTGAATGTGTGATCCTGCGACCCATCCTCCTGTTTCAGTAGTACTTATAGTAACCATGACCACCACAGTATATATACCCACCTACAACCAAATTACAACGTAGAAATCTGAACTATTGAGTTGGACAATTGGAAAACTATTTTTTACATGTGTTGCTTTGACAAACTAACCTAACCTATCCTAACCTCCCTAGGCCTAGATATGCAATATCTGAGGCCTAATATAGTACATATGTGTGCTATACTAGGCCTAGGAATATTTAAGTTTGTTGTGTTTTAGTTTCATTTTACAAGAATTTTATTTTATTTTATTGAAAATATTTCATTTTACAAGAATTCCTCACTAGTCAGTATACTACTGTCTAAAAGCTAAGTACGTCACAATAGATACTATCTCAACAGGAGGATAGTTAGCAGAGTATGGAGCATCTTTGTCAGTGTGTGTGGAAATAGTATATATTTCTCGATATATGTAAGTATGATGTATATTTTTCCTTAGGACCTTAGGTCACTGTAACCATTCTCTGTACCTTAGGTCACTGTAACCATTCTCTGTACCTTAGGTCACTGTAACCATTCTCTGTACCTTAGGTCACTGTAACCATTCTCTGTACCTTAGGTTTTAGGTCTTGTCTGCTCCTGTACTCACCGCTGAAAAAAGAAAGGACTTGTGATGGCTGGCTTACGAGTTTCAGCTTCCCAGAGTAAAAAGGAAAAGTCTTACCGTACTAGTTTTCCCCTAGAACACGACCCCCCCAATTGGTTTACAACCAGCTCCCTAATTACTCCTGGGTGAACAGGGCGAACAGTTAAGATTACGGCCCAGTCAATCCTTCGAGGCCGGTAACTCGAACCTGGGCCTCCTACTCTGACAGAAACAGTGTACTCTAAAAATTTGCGTAATCGAAGTATAATATTTTATACTTCGTATTATATATTATACTTCGTATAATATACTATACCGAGGGTGCTTCGGATTCTTAAACCTGAGGTCCCGGGTTTGATCCCCGGTGGAGGCGGAAATAAATGGGCAGTTTCTTTTACCCTGATGGCCTGTTCTTCTAGCAGGAAATAGGTACTTGGGAGTTAGACAGCTGCTACGGGCTACTTCCTGGGATGTGTAACAAAAAAGGAGGCCTGGTCGAGGACCGGGCCGCGGGGACACTAAGCCCCGAAATCATCTCAAGATAACCTCAAGATAAGATTACTATTGTTAGTATGGTTATTTTAATTTCTTCAGTATAATGAAAGGTCGTTATCGTTTAGTATTACATAATGTATAATTATAATGATCATTATACTTATTATAACAATTTTCATGTGAAAATGAATAATGTACTTTTATTTTTTTAAGTCAACCACTTGATCAATGGGTGATTGGGTTCTTATTTTCCTTCACCAAATTTAGCAACAAAATATATCTTATCTTCCCGTGAAACAGCTGTTAACTCACGGTTGGTGAAAGTAGTTGATGCTACTGAAATAGTTCCACACAACCTTGAGAGCCGTGAAGGAGAGCGCAGGAGGAGGAGGGTAATCTTAGCGGTCATCTGCCACTCCGACACCACACTTGCTCGCAGACAATGTATACGCAGTCGTTTAGTGTCGGCGGGAGAGTGCACAGTCATCTCCGTTTATTGCACTTGTTGCTGTTGCGTGTCCTCCACCTGCTCCATCCCCCCCCTCCCTATCCCCCTCCTCCCCCATCCCCCCCACCCCCTTCTTTCCTGCCATTTCATGGGTCCATTCATTGTCTCTCAAGGGACCTTTCATAGTCCATTTCATGGCCACACTTGCGGCCCCTTTCATAGTTACCACATACATATTTATACTGATTCTGTAAGAAATGCAGTTATTGTATTAATTTATATTTCGTCGTGTGCTATGCAGTGTGTGTGTATGGTGGAGTTGTAATATGATTTCAGTGGAGGTGTTGTGGTTTCTGTTCTTAGTTCAGGGTTCTGCCAGCCACCGGTCCAAGTGTCGTCTTGTAGTGGTGATCTCGTGGTTACTATAGCCATGGTTCACTAGTACTTGTGTTGTCCTTTCAAACTCCCTACTCACGTTGTGCCATTCAAAGCAATGGGTAATGGCTCGACGAATATAAACGTTGAGGACACTGGCTTTGTATCTTTGGGCGCACTCACTCCTACCGTTCAGGCATAATCATAATAATATATATATAATATATATATATATATATATATATATATATATATATATATATATATATATATATATATATATATATATATATTGGTGTATACTGGCAGCAGGTTTTCTTTCAAACATGTTTCATTGAATATGACCGCATATTCTGTATTTATTATTTTCTGGTTTAGGGCTTCTATCCCTCTAACTATTTTCTTAGCATCAGGGCTTAATTGAAATAGGAGTTCTAATTAAGCCCTGATGCTAAGAAAATAGTTAGAGGGATAGAAGCCCTAAACCAGAAAATAATAAATACAGAATATGCGGTCATATTCAATGAAATATATATATATATATATATATATATATATATATATATATATATATATATATATATATATATATATATATATATATATATATATATGTCGTACCTAGTAGCCAGAATGCACTTCTCAGCCTACTATGCAAGGCCCGATTTGCCTAATAAGCCAAGTTTTCCT